TTCAACCAGAATGCAAATAATCGATCTTGTCAGTCTTGTAGAAATAGTATAACGAACAAAAAATGTGAAGCATCGTCATTATTGAATTATGTTTAATAACAGTTGAATACATTAATTGTAAAAAAAGTAAATATTAAATGAATAATTATACATTCTCGACGACAACTAGAACACAGAACGACATATTCTGTTTGGTGATAACCAATATGTTTGTTCTGGCAATACGATCACCGAGGAAAGCAACTCACTTTGGTTTATAACAAACTAAAACTGTGTACAATGGAAGAACGTTCAAATTAATTGAGATACCATTGTTTAATGAAATACACCTGAAGTGTTACAAAAAAGAATTAAGTACAAATTTTAGCAACTTAGAAATTTTGAAATATATATCTATGAAATTACTTTGAAAATTAGAAGAAAAAAACACACCGTAAAACCGATTTGTATACTACTAGTATTCTGAATAAGTCATCAAAATAAACTATGGTAATATCACGTTAATATTGCATTGTACACGAGAAACCGTTCTGCATCATCACCGCCAACAAAATTCGAAATTGTGATATTTGTGATCGTGCATTATCATTTCTGAATCGCCTTATTGTAATCGTTCTGGAATATCAATATGGGTATGTTTATTTATCTACACAAAAAACTTCCATATTATCAGTCAATAACGGTTTTGTTTGTATACACTGCTGATGTTGATTTGTGTTATGTCTCGCAACAATTATTTCAAAAGTCTTGTGATAAAAGATACAGAGAACAAGTTATTCGTAATTTATTAATTACGTCTTCAATAATATCAATAACGATACGATAAAAACATGTATACACTATCATTTATATAATATACAAAATAGATACCACACGTGTTATTTCCACATGTCAACTTGTCAAACAGATTATGAAGTGAGTAAATGAATGAACGACATACTAAAATGAACTAAATAGTACGTTCTTGTCGGCCTAAATACGATACTACATAAATAAGTTATCATACAATGTTTAGTGTCTTTCAAGTATATAGTAATTATTTAGTTCTGTTGTGTTAAATGATTTCATGAGAAACTTAAATTTACAAAATAAAATACACACCAACTTATCATAAATACAAATGTAGAATTAAATTTAATCGTAAATTAGTATAATTTTAAATAAAACTGACATTATCCTGAGATGATATATTAAATATAAGTTACAGTAACTACATATTCAACTGAAATGTACAATATTCTAATTATCGATTTATATAATACACAACAAACAACCAATGACATTATCGACCCCGAAAGATACCTTTCTAACAAACCCAGATAAATTACATGCATACATGCAAATTCGTGTAGCCTTAAGATTTCCTGTTCTTATATTATAATGTTCTCTATACAACTACTAAATACATTATATTGGAACGAAACATTTGAAACTTGTGATACTTATATATAAATATACATTTATGTAGCTATACGAAGTATCACATACGTTCAATCACATCTCTTATATGTGCCAGAACAGGGACGCGGGGTATACTGCACGGAACTATTAGAATTTCAAAGATATATATTTCCCCATCTTAATAGAGGTTATTAAAATGTCAACACACGACATATGCATGGCTCCCATGTGGTCTACGACAGCGTTTGCACGGAAGAGGGCGCTATAAGTACTTACCGCGGTACACTCCTCATATGTATCTCACCGAGTACTGGGCAAGATTATACTATAGCCTCGATTGTATTACTATTGTTACATTTCATTTTTTTTTTTTACAAATTGGCAACATTTCCGAAAGCGAGTGACAGTTGGACGAGTGCGCTATATGTCATTACAAAGGACAACAGCGTCGCTAGCGCCCTCTTAATATTATATTCAACATTTAAGCCGTACTATATACGCGATGGGTTATTATTTATTCCTTATTTAAGGCTTTTGTATAGACATTTGTGTATCCATATTCAAAAAGGAAATATAACGATATAGGCGTTGCATAACTATGGTTATTTCATAAATGTGCGCAGTGCAGCGAATATAAATGTGACAATAGGAAGTTGAGTACATTGCCACAGTAACAGGGTTACAGCTCGCTCCATACAAGACAGATTAAAACACGAAACCAATGTTGATACCAGTCTGACCTGCCTTGTTATATCAACAGCACGGTGTACGGGCAAATATATAACATTGACCATTGTATTTGATAAAAAGTATTTAATTCAGTTTTCATATATATACGAAACATTTGGACACATTTACACATACAATTTGACGATGATTACAACACGAGTACTGTGAAATAGTCTATCTGCGGTCTAGGACATGTTCAATACATGAAATTAATCGAGAAACTTATTGCTTTATTCAGTTTGCTTCATAAGTGTTCCACAATGTCTAAGAATCATTTGATTAAGATTGGTAACTAACATGTAATTAGCACATTCTGCTGTAAGTTGTTGTTCTTTGTGACAGGTAAACGAGGTAGATGTGGATATATTCATACTGAGCTTCTTACGTCAATAAAAACAGGCAAACCTAAAGTGACATATACATAATACGTAACTTGCCATTTTTCAACATGTCGTGCCCTATCCCTGACCCTTTTTTCAGATGTGCAATTTCTTTTGAATTTAGATTCATCTGAACTTAAAACCGAAAAACCGTAGAAACATTTAAAACACACTATGCAATGACATCAGGTGTGAGGTATATGCATACATTAATTAGTTTGACATGGATATTAACTTAATTCGAACTGTTATACTATTGTTCCTGCTCACGGCAACATGAGTTACACACTGCAAAACACGCGGCAATGAGTCAGTCACGTGATACATATACTTCATTACAGTTTGAAACCTAAATGGAAGCTTTATTCCTCGTAAAATTGAAAGAGTCAGAAAGATCGCGAAATCAATCAACAATTCACAACCTACCGCCCCTCATATACTGATCTTGGTCCCCTGGACATTATTTGTTGTATTCAACTATGTTATGGATAGTGTTGTACTCTATAGTGACCTATTTTTTTGGAAATTTCCATATAGTGATATCTTTTCAGGCATAAATACAGTTAAGCAGTAAATAATATTAATAAAAGATTATTATAGTCCAAACGAAATAGATAATCAATTCAACAGAGAGCTATGATTGATAATAACCTCATATCTTTCTTTTTTCTTTGCCAAGAGCATACTATTAGCGTGAAACTTCATCTTCGTCTTCCCCGATGTACCAATATTATACTCGTAAATTAGAAGAGAAATAACGCTAGTATCTGCGTATTATTAACGCGGAATCTTACATTCTCCTTAGTAGCAATTCTATTTCAGTAACTAGAGTATATAAATCCGCAATTGCTGTGTTTGGTTTTGCGATATCTTAAGATGTAAAGCGATATTACGGAAACCCAGACGCTAAATATCAATACAGACAGTGTTTGACTAATGTCTACTACAGTCGCTGAGGGAAAAAGATGCACAATCACTACTGTGCATCACATATCAGTTTGTGAGTATTCGTTTACTACACTAACATGTGTGTTCATGATAAACCACGCTGGGAACACTTTAATAGTTACGAGTTATTGTTTACGGAGATCATATTGTCCAAATAGTTTCATAAAGCGATAAACAACACAATCTTTTCTTGTCCAGTTTCAGATGAGAAACTGGAAAATCAGTTCCAGAAATAAGTGTTAATATTATTCCACCAAATGAAACAAACTCATAGTTAGATGGCTTGGGCCTTGGTATCGATCTTTCCAAAGCATTTGAAATATACATTGAACACTAGTAAGTTGCATTTTCATTGGTAAAACTATGTAGCTTTTCATTTATTATGTAATTTATGCATGGGAACATTTATGCTAATTACCTACACATTTTACTGCTTAGCTCAGTTTTAATTTTCCTCATATAAATACATTGATTTATATTGCTGTTGCCGCATTAGTGTATCACAAAAAAAAAAAAACAACAACAAAAAAAACAAAACAAACAAACAAACACAAAAACATACGACATTAAAGTAAAACAATTTAACTAATTCACAGTCACTTCTACACCAAATGTGTCTGGCAAGGGTATGCAGAAAATTATGTGAGTTATTATTTCTTTAAAAAGAATTCAGTCAATTAAGAACATTAATAGAATACATGTATCTGGTTGTTACCATGTATCATAACATCCAATTTACGATCTATTTATAGAGCAGTGTGAGTGTACGTCTCAATAAATTGAATTTTGTGTGTGACATAACGTGGCTCTATCTAATCCAGTGTCAATTTATACCCTAGCATGTGCAAACATCCACTTAGAGATCGACTTGCGCAGGATATCTGTAATTACTTTTAATCATCGTCTGGATTAAAGTACCATGTCATGTACATGGTCCAGTAGACTATGTTGAACAGAAGAAACGCCACAGGAAAGGCTACACGCGAAACGTAATCGATGTACTGTGCCCAGTCTGTTTCTGGTGGTTTGTGAAGAACCACCTTCACCTCGGTGTCCGACAGCTGCGCGCCACTGGTAACCGTCGATGGCATAGATTTAAAATCTGTTTTGATGTAAGTCTGTATTGGTTTCATCTCCAGTAAAGTACTGTTCTCGCTGTTTTCGTTGCTCAGCTGAAAATGAAATGAGAAAGTCATTAAAACTATGATATGCTAAAGATTGCATTGCAGTATCAATATACTATAGCTAGTTATTATAGTTAAAGGGCGGTAGTCGTCGTGCCACGCATGCGCGAGATATGTGGGTCTCATATAAACAAAGATGGCGAATTTGTCTGTTGCGCAAATCAACGTGCACAAATTGATATGTTAAGTTTGAATGAGGTATTTGTTAGGTCATTGGAAGTTATCGAAGGAGTCACTGACGGTAATTAGTACAAGTCGCGCCCAGGTCAAACCTCATACTTATGACTTCCAATAGAAGAGCGCATTGGATTGTGGGAAAATCAATGTTTATCAACACAAATGTTGCACATGCGCGACGCAACGACTACCGCCCTTTAAGCATAAAATGAATTTCGTAGCTCATTTTTTTCCTATCATCACACAATAGGCTCAAACATGACCTTGAATTACATTTAAAAATTGAAACATATAATAAAAATGTCAACAAATTAGAGTATGTCACGGGCAAGAATATACGTAAAATGTATTCAACATATGTTTTTCTATTCACGCCAGTGATAGGGTAGAGAAGCGTCCCGTTGCGTTTACTCAGAAATCATTCGACTTTATGCATTTAGCTACATGCTGAAACTTTGCTAGATTTTTGTTAATATTTAACGCTCATCAAGTTTATTTTCACTTGATTGATATGATGGATGTTCAAGACGTCCCCAAGCAAACTACTGAAAAAACGGTTAGGTTTTTCATTGGGAGAAAATATGTATGGAAATTATCAAGATTTTGGCTCTACGTGCAAAACTTTAATACAGATTTTCAGATGTATTATTAACCTATTTGTAAATCCTTTCACAAATGCCTCTAACAAATCCCAAAAAATAACATATGATCTCATGTTTGGGGGAAGCATGACAACCACCGAGAAATTTGACCTGAATATAGAAAATACCAGAGGAAATATTGACATAACGTTTAAATTTTGGGGCACTAATTGAAAACAAGCAAAGCCACAAAGAAAAGACAGATATTGTTCCTGGTTTGCAAAATAAACGATAACAGCGGGCATATACTTTTCTGTTTTGCGTAGGACAATTTTGAGTTAAAAATAAAAATAAAACAAGAATATGCTTATGCACAATGAGAAACAGCAAAAGTCTCATCAATGGTATAAACCAATTTATGTGCATGATATTTGCATAATCAAAAATCATATTCATTGTGAAATTTCAGTTTGAGAATAAGTGACCTCGAATTTCATTCTTGTTTAGCAACGAACTTGGATTCCGGGTGATGATGCAAAAGCGTTTCAAGTTGTTAATATAATCGCCAAGATTACCTCCATGTGAGTCACAATTACATATATACATATTTAGACCATTTGAAATTTCATTGCACGAACCCTGTCTGTCGTTAGTTATAATTATTCTGACAATATGCAAGATAATTGTGGCTTATGTTAGTCCATCGTTATTTAGATACATACGACGGTCAGTATGTAATGTGACAACGTGGTCATTTGAAATGTCGTGCGGTTTATAAATAAATGCGAGAGTTGATGAAATTGATAGACTCCCTTAACTGTATTAACATTGATTGTATATTTCATAGCAAGCGCAGCGACGCGAGCCCTTTAGCGAACATATAGAAGAGTATATACCCTCTATACCCTAACAGTTTGTAAATTGGGCGCCGCCATTATGTTTCTTTTTTTCACAAATTGAGCGAAAACAGCTCATTTTTGATAAAACATTTTCAGAATGTTGTTCAATAAAAATGCAATCAATTTCTGTCAACGGACTGAACAACTATTTCAGCTTTGAATAATATTTGGGGTCATTTTGATCAGCGGCGACGAACAAATCGTGCGTATTGCCATCTTGAATTCCACTCAACACGCGCGAGAGCTAATAACCCGACTTCCGCAGTTCACACGCTTCGACCTTCTATGGTTACGTCAGTTCTATTTTTAGTACAGCAATAAACTACTCGGCTGAGCTCGCTCGCCAGGCATTGCCTGCTACATATTATTTGCGAACGAAGCAGTCGCAGCGAGCTCGATAGATAACATGTGTATATATGGAAGAGTATGAAAGAGATATAAGTATCCTAATAGTTTGAAAATGGTGCACTTCCGGTCAGTTGGCAGCGCCATTTTGTTTGTTATTTCACAAATTATGAGAAACAGTTCATTCATAATAAAACATTATCGGAACCTTGTTCATTGATAAGATAATTTGACAACGTACTGAAAATATTTCAATTTCAAATAATATTTCGAGTCATTTTGACACACGGCGAAACACGAATCGTGCGTGCCGTCATCTTGAATCCCATTCACCACGCGCGTGAACTAAAAACGCGATTTCCTCAGTTCACACATCTCAACGTTACGTCAGTTTTGCGACATATTATCTACGTGGCACTACTGTGAGTGTAACTGGGTGCTCCCGCGTCCATCAATTAAACACTGACGAGACGTTTGGGATGGGGCGTTATCTTTATAGATGCAATATGGATATCTTTTATTAATATATTGTTTAGCATTGGGAGTTGTTTCATTGACATATCAATTCTTTTTGAATTGTGTCTTATCGGGCTAAATAAAATTCGCCAATGAAATTGCCCTACTGTCAACACAACGCACGCGACTATAAGTAACAAAGATGGCGTCGAACAATTGTTTACACGATTTTTCTTTATGCACTTATTGGTGCGCGTCTTGTGCCGTGATCATGCGCAGTGATGGCCTGGGAAGATTCAGGCGTTCGCACCCGAAGTTAATTTATACAGCTAATAAATATACAATTGTGACCTGATTAATAATACAGCGCATGGTCAACGTATGGAAAAACGGCTAAAAATAGTTCAAACTTGATATATAAAAGATTCGAAAACGCGGAATACGAGTAAACTCATATCGAATTTTATGGACCCATACAAAATTTGTCTCCAGACAGAAGTAGTTTGTCTCACCTTGTTTTCTTTTTGCCGTTTCTGTCGATCGGCTTTTCCTATTTTCTTGCGAGACTTATAATTAGCAGCAGCAAATTCCACTAAGGCGGCGAATACGAATAACAAACACACGGCCATCCATATATCTATTGCCTTCACATACGACACTTTGGGCAACGTCTCGTTGGCGCCTGAGCTCTGCGTTGTCATGGTGAGCACGGTAGTGATGCCCAAGGCGACTCTAGCTGGTGATGATTCGGCACTGATCCAGAATGACACCCACGATAGTATAACGATAAGCATACTGGGTATATATGTTTGTATCATATAGTATCCCATCTGTCGAGTCATGATAAATCGGCCTTCCACGCATGTGTAGTTACCTGAGGTATGTTGAGAAAAAAATGCAACAGTTATCCGAATTTCCGGTTTACTGGGAAAAAAATAGCAAATTCATATATAATTATAACACATTGCACCGTAACAAATTCATAACTAAAAGAAAGAATTAGTAACAAATTACTATCAGAAACTAATTACCTGTGTTATATTGTTTTGTGCAGAGTAGTGTTCGTGTACCAACGATGTCAAACTGTGGCAATTGAAGGTTTGAATCCCTTTGAATAGGCTCAACGTCCCGCCATTTGAATAATAAATCTTTTGTAGTAAATCCATCTGAAAAAAATATGTTTATAGATTATTCATCCGTTTTCGCCCGACTAGGTTTTTACTCTAGCTCAAAATAGATAATCACTTTGCTCTAAAGTTGTCGCTGGTCACGCGTGTCATCGAAATCAAGTATGAGTTACAAGAACCTACTCGCATATATACTCACAGCTTTCGCACTGTACTGCACATTGTTGACGATCCATCGGAAATTTTTGTAGCGACATCATACACGTCAGTGTAAGAAGTAACCTATACAATAAATAATACGGTGGTGAGCGTATAAAGTAACACATACAGAGAAACATAGAAACCATGGGCAGCATAAGAAGTAACACATACAGTGAAAGATGGAATCAGTGGTCAGCGTAAGAATTAACACACATAGAGAGAGGTGGAAACAGTGGTCATCACAAGAAGCAACACATACAGTGAGAGATGAAAACAGTGGTCAATGTAAGAAGTAACACATACTTTGAGAGATGGAAACAGTAATCAGCGTAAGAAGTAACACATAATGTTAATGCTTGTAAACGTAAAGCATTAAAACCATATATATCAAGATATATACCGGCAATATGCTTATAAGTCTAATAATAGTAATATTTCATGGTTGCCGTATGTTCCCAAGCGAAATAAAAAAAAATAATATGTATTGCAATAGGTTCGGAATAAGTGACATGAACTTTAAGTTGAAGAATAATAAATTGGGTCGAAATGAACCTTAATCTAAACAAGTCATGTATTGCCATGTCTGTCTATTAATCAATATCGAGTTATTAGTAATTAGAGTTATTTTTGTTTAATAACCGTAAAGCGAACTCTATTAAAAATTGTATTTAATATGCATTTAATACATCGTAACACGCGGCTACAAACCATATAGCATACTTGTATGTTGTCTTTGTAATTGAAATGTCTGTCGATTTATTAAATTTGCCATGTACACACTGACATATTGTACTTTTGATACAGTAGTAATTGCAGGGAACGATATTGATGTTTCGATGTCCAGGCCATCAGCCCCGTATTCAGCTGCAGATTGGCAATTACCTTATCTTACTAATACGAAATATCATGGTACTTGACTAGTACATGCCATTGAGATCTGGACAGGGACGTTGCATTGTGGGTAATGCGAGTGAATAACAAAGCACTCGGTCGACCGCCCCATATACGGGGAGGAATGGCCCGGTTGGACACCAGAAAATACCCCGTGCACTAATTAACTCCATATGCTCTTTCTAATGTTTGTCTTTCCCCGTGATTCAAAGCATCACACTTCTTTATTGAAAATGATAGGAATAGTATTTTCATGATAAACTTATTTATTATAAACTGGCAATCAGTTTGCCCAAGAAATTAATAAAATTGGCCTTTATTTTCATAATATAATCAATAAACTTCGCGATTCACATTGCTGTATTTGTGACTGAGGTATGTATTCTATTTATCGACATACTATGTGACGTCATAGGCCCCGAATACCGAAATTACTTGTTTTGATCCTAATATATTCTATTAGTAGGTCACGTTATCGACCTCGCAGTTGCAGGATTACTTATCAAGGCCATACTAGATTTAAAAAACGGAGGCAAATCAAATCGTTCTCTGAGATAAACATGCAGGATTCCCTGGAGACGGTTGGGACTGAGTCACTCACTAGGTTTTCATTCTCTACATAATAAACTGTAAATTAGATTAGCCGTATCAATTGCAATAACGGAAATCGGAGCGGAATGTATTGGTAAAGTTTTAGCGTTATTTTTTGTCTTTTATTTTATTACTGATCACACTTGTCCACTAAGTACAATTAATACCAAGCAAAGTACCACTGCAGATGGGGTTTATCGAGTTGCATCGCCTCCACCTATAATCTAAACTATTCTGAGTCGTAAACGTGACCGCTTTAACTGTCACCTGCATTTAAGAGAGGCACATTCAGGCTCGTAACTTGAAGCCCGTAAAACAATTACAAGAACCAATGGGTATGCACTTATATTTATTCATCTGGTGACAGCTGGAAATATTGGAAATTATCATAAAATAAACTGCTTATATCTATGTTTTTCCTTCGTTTTATGTTCATTGATTACTGAAAAGGCTGACACCAGGTCTATTACATAGACATGGACGTTTCGATAATGGATTTTGTGAGGTTTGCATTATAGCGTCATTTATGGAGCTTTGTGACAAACTACAAAATCTTTGTTAAAATGTCCGAACTTCTATTCTATTAATATCCGAGAACTAGTTAGCGAATGTTACCAAAAATGACGTAATGGTGAAACTATGCATGTGATTTTTGACTTTATTTCTTTCAAATTTCTTTTATAAATTATAAACTAAACAAATTCTGCTAAATTTTCACACATTATATGTCCATGTGAAAAGCACGACAAAGTGTGACGTCACGTACCTTACACTGTATAAAATATCGCCGTTGGGAAACAATCGTAAAAGTTTGTTGTCTGTGGTGACGTCATGCTGGTAGGCTCTTTTCTCGTTTGGGAAGAAGAGATCAGGGAACCACATCCGATTCAAAAGCTGCGTATGCACCGATACACTGTGATTGTACTCGGTGAATGACAGTCTGGGATCGTTCCATTGCTGTCTCATGAAGATGTCCATTGTGTAACTCTACAACATAGATAATATATATATAATGAAACCATAGGTCGTATGCCTCCTGATTGTCAAGTGGGGTTACAGTACTAGTGGGTCAATATTCTTGGTTCAGAGGGTGATGATTCAACAAATCGAAACGTTCCAAAGGCGCATATATTTGTGCTGCATTAAAATGCTTACCTGAAAGATAATTATATTTAATAAACAATGCATTTACGAAATATTGGATTTGCCACAAATTGGTAAATTAAATTATAGTCGCATGTGTCGTTCAAATTTTCCATGTAACCTGACGAGGTCCAGGTATTTATATTCTATATACTGAACAAGTTCAGTTCGCTCACTATGCGTACATTGAAAATAAAAACTCTCGGACTTCGATGAATTCCAGTCGGTTCAGTTGGGGTGATCGAAATAGCGGGACTTATTCACAGTGACATTTTTTGCTGCTCTGCATTACGGGTAACAACGGGTAAGCTTTAGGTGAGATACAGTCTGGTGGATCGTTATAGCGTCTTTTCGACAGCCAAATAGACAATGCAACCGTTAAGCAAAATCTTCAAAAGGCCAAATTCAGAGGTGTACGATGTTCACAGGAATCCATTCCACACACCTGTATTTAACATAAGTTACACTATATAAGTCATACACAATAGAACACTTAAACCTTGCAAGACAACATCCAATTCAATTCATTGTGTGTGATTTCATATTAAAAATCTTTCAAGTAAACAAACATTATGCAGTTCGGTGCGGTACCAGTGGTTACATAAAAGAAATTCCCAATGGACAGACTATTTAGAATCCTGAAAGAGCGGTG